CAATTCTAATAAGGAAAAACAACTCGTCATTCTCTCTTTTCCCCTCGGCTCTTCTGGCTTTTTTCCCTCAGATTTGACAAACTCACAATTTTTGAGTTAAGTCGAGTTATAAGGTCCGAATTAGCAGATATAAACTTGCATTTGCGAGAAAAAAAAGTCAGAATTGTGAGATAAAATAAATAAATGTTATGTAAAAATGTTATACTTTCCTACAATATAGTAGGTGAAAAACAGTATGTCCGAATTCACAGTACTTATAAAAGTGTATTCCTGGATGATCATTCTTGGTGCTTGCTGAAGTACTGTATGTCATCATCTTGTTCAGCTTGTGTGGATGCTCATTGACTGCAGCCGATTGTGAAGCTCTGGCTCAGATGCTCTCTGGAGCAGTGTTGCCAACTAATTTTCAGGGGAAGTTGCTAAAGGAAGTTCGATTTGTTGCTAAAAGTTGCTAAATGACGTTGTGATGTAACGCAAAATTGTGTCACTACATTAAAAAATTTTTTTTTAATGTTAATTTAGATTTGTTCATAAAATAATATAAATGCATAATATAATGTTAAAATATAAATAACTTTTTATATACAACACTGAATTATTGAACACTTACAAATTTCTGAAAGATTACACGTTTTTTTTTTTATTAGCTAGTAAACTAGTAAAACTACACATTCTGAACAATTATAGTTTTAAGCAGTGTATTAGTAGTCAGTATGCTACACTCTAAGAAAAGAATTCACAGGTTTTTACCTGCATTTTAAATTACGCATTGTATTTTGTGTTTCGGGTTACAACGGATGATGGATAACGGATAATGTCCTGGAAAATTACTAGTAGGGCCTACCTTTTCCATTTTTCTAGATATTTTTCTTACAGTGTACTAACTGATCAACAATCACAGGTACAAGCTGCTAACGAGGTGTATCATAAATCAACAATTATTAAATTATTATTATTATTATCAAATTGAACAATTGCAAATAGCAGTAACTTAATTCACGTGATGTGTGTACTGCTAGGCAT